AATCGTCGCCAAGATCGGAGAGTGGCATCGGTTCCAATGAGAACGAGGTGGCTCCGGTGGCTAGTCCGCGTCCGCAGACTAGCAACGCTGCTCGCCAGGCCTTGAGACAACGCCAGGAGGAGGAGTACCACTACATGGCCCAGGCGGCGGCTGCAGCGGCAGCAGCAGCAGCTGGTCAGGATGAGAGCATGTGGCGACCCTGGTGAGAGATCCTATGTACCAAGTATGTAGACTGCACCAGTTAGTTGGTTGAAAACCAGCCGGAAGCCGGTGGTTCACAGCCCCAACTGATCGCCAAGTAAAGGATGATACCTATTGTTATTACCGCTCGTCTGTGTAGCTCCCGCTCCTTTCCGAATTGCATTTCCTACCTGTGCCAATGCCCAAAAGAGACTCTCTAAAAGATGGGTTCCAGAGCCACATGGAGCGACCCCTTCATTTATGTGTGCATTTGTTTTCGCCCTGAACTCTGCGTTGGATGTATTTAATTCAATACTAAAAGCTAAAATATTTACAAAACTATGCTTTGGTTTTATTAAAGGTGGTTTAAACTTTAAGCGACAAAACAATAAAAAGTAGCGAATGAGTCTTTGAATATTTGTAGTAATTTTATTAAGATACATCCTATAAATACGATATAGATCCATGCGGAGGTCCAATAAATACTTGTATTATATATTATTTATATAAACTTTCAAACAAGAAAAGAGACTTAATCTACTCATCAGGTTCATGCTTTCTACTTTGATTTCATTGCACTTAGGGATTTGCGAGGCGCCGACTGCCGCTGGCGGGCGAGAAATGTCTGGCCCGAGCCCATTAAGATGGCCAGCTTTGAGTCGATTGCATCGCGCTGGGCATTCACACCCAGCCTGTAGAAGGCGGAGGTCATCAGCTGCTCCTCCATCACACTCATCTTGGGCTTGGGTTCCTCCTCGACAAGATCAGCATTTTTTTCCAGGACACTAGCATCTAGAGCTTAATTAACAACAATTATTTTTGAGTCTACGAAGCACGTTGAACTACTTACCACTGGCAATTCGCGGATCTATGCTCTTGATCACCTCTTTGGCCTTCTCCACACATTTTCGGTATTTCGCGTCATACACCAGAATTTCTTGCTCACGTGCAGATAAATTCGTTTCCAGCTGAGTCACCTTACATTGCAGAGATGTGCTCTGGGTTACAGCTTCTTCCAGTTGAAGTGCTATAGATATGTAAATAACATACATAAGTCGTTGGTTTTTTCTTTTAGGATTTTAGTGACTCACTCTTTTGTTCATTTAGCTCCATCAGCTGTTTGATTTGTTTGCCAAACTCGCTCCTATAACAAAAAAATATATATAAATAAGTAAAATTTATGCTTTTTTTATAAAATACAAATTTGAAAATTGAGCTGAATCAGAGTTCGTTCAAAAGGTTATGATACCATATTATCAGGGATCGCACGTAAGAATTACTTTTTTAAAAAAATTGACAAATAAGTCTTATTTTTAAAATAAGACTTATTTGTCAATTTTTATTATAAAAGTTGACAAATAACTCTTATGCTTCAATTTTGTTGATTTTTATAATAAAAATTGAAGCATAAGAGTTATTTGTCAACTTTTATAATAAAATAAAGATTGAATTGAAATAACTCTTGAACTGTGGGGTACATTGGTTTAAAATTTATATATGTATAATCTACGCATTAATACCTTTCTGTTGATATGCCATATGTCCCCAACATATTTTTTATAATAATAATATTTTTTACATCATCAAAAATACATCATCAATTCAATTTTTATTATAAAAGTTGACAAATATTTGTTGATTTTTATAATAAAAATTGAAGCATAAGAGTTATTTGTCAACTTTTATAATAAAAATTGAAAAAAAAGACTTATTTGTCAATTTTTTTAAAAAAGTAATTCTTACTTGCGATCCCTGCATATTATACACCAAACATTATAATGATTATAAATGATTAGAAAAATTATAAATATTTACTCTTTCAAAATAGGATCATCGCTCTGGGAGGCATGCGAGAGCGAAAGAATTCGTTCATTCGCTGTCTTAAGCTGCTCACGCAAGTTTTCACAACGTTTGTTGGCATCGTCCAGAAGTTGCTGCAATAGAATTTACATGAATATAATATTTTCAGCTTATGTTATCTTTGATTACTCACCGCCAAAGCTGTCTGGCCACCCTGTCCCTCGCGCAGCGCCTTGTTCTCGGCCTCCAAGCGCTGTAGTTTTTCCACCGTTGCCGACGGCTGCAATTCCCGGGAAACTGTGTTGCCCGTCAGCGCCGAGTTGGAGGACAGTTGTCCGCACTTCAGCTCGTCGACGGTCTCGCGAAGATTGTCGCGCTCCTTGAGCAGGCTGTCCTTGGCCCTCTGCAGGGCCACATTCTTGCCCTCCAGATTCTTGTTGTCGAACTCCAGCTTAACGTTCTTACTGCTCTCCGCGTCCAGCTTGGCATGCAAGTCTTGGATCTCCTTCTTGAACAACTCCACCTGACCTTTGGTATTGGCATATCGTTTGGCATCCTCCTCAAACTGCGCATTCTGCTGCACATAGTCGGCGCTGCGCTCCTCCAGGATCTTGACCTGCTTCTTCAGGTCGTTATAGTCTTCTAGCTTCTTCTTGTACGTGTCCAGCTGGGCCTCGCAAATCTTGAGTTTGTCATTGGATTCCCGCAGAACGTCCACCTCATCTTTTAGAGTGGTTACCTCAGCAGAGCTTTTCTGTGGGTTAGAAAAGTTATTTATGTAATTTTATAAAAATATATGATGCTCGCTAAGATTACCATTAATTCCTCGATGCGCATTTGCATGTGCAGCAGATCAGTATCCTGTTGTTGGGCCTTGAGTTTCAGGTCCTCGCGGGCTCCTTCTGACTGCAAAAGCTCCTCCTTTAGAAGGTCCAGCTGCCTGCGCAGCTCATTGTAGCGCACAGATCCGGTTTGGACGGGACCCAGAGAGACTCCATCATCCCCGATCACCGTGGAGTGTTGCTCCAGGCGGGCAAACTCCTGTTGCACCTTCTGCAGCTCTTGCTGCAGATTCGTTTTCTCGTCGATTAGCAGCAGCATTTTCTTCTCGGTCTCGAAGCATTTCTGGGCCATGGCGTCGCGCTCCTCCTGCACCACCTTGCTGTCCAGAATTCCGACGCTGCGCGACAGGGAGCTGACCACACCGCCCTCCGGCGAGGAGGCTTGCCTCGTGGCCTCCAGTTCCTGCAGGGCGCGCATGATATTCGCCTGCAGCTCCTCCTCCAGGCACATGATCTCCGTGATGTAGGACTGCTTCTGGGCACAATTGACGGCGCATCCGAGGACCAGCTGCAGCAGGCGCTCCAGCTCGCCCAGATCGCATTTCTCCGCTATTCTCTGCAGATCCGGCTTGGCAAAGTCACCCAGTGAGTAGTTGAGCACCTCGCTGTAGTAGTCGTACACCGACTGGGTGACCTTCTTCAGGTTGCTCATCCGCAGCCGCCAGTTGCTGCCCACGGCGCTGGCCTTGATCTTGGAGAGCCAGGCATCGGTGAAGGATTCGGGGGCGAATTGATTGAGCGCCTGGGCCAGAGCCACTCCGTCGGCCAGGGATTCCGCATCTGCGTGCGGGGCGTTCAGATTGAGGGTCTTGAACCACTCCAACAGGCTGTAGTACATCTCGTTCTTGGGCGCGGACATGTTGAACGTCTGAACGAAACGCTAAACGAAACAAAACAAACTAAAAATATGCACAATTTCACAAAAAAGAGAGCTCTCAGCTGTTGCACTAAAAACAAAACAGAAATCGTACTGCAGGGCAGCTATCGATAGGCGCTGAGATGCACCTGTCCTATCGATAGGAAATAGTTGTATATATCGCACAATTTTAATGCCCTCTGCTCATTATGGACGCGTCGCGTTTGCATCCATTTACCGTTTAACGCGCCCAAATCCCATACAAAACTTGTAGGCGAGGGGTGAGGAGGGGAGGGTGGAAATTTGTCGCGTTACAGGGCTGGAAAGTGAAATTTGTGGTATATTTAAGCAGTATTAACCAGGCATGAACATTTTTCTGGACCCGAAACTGATAAGAGGCTGATAACAAGCGGGAAATATTAAAACCATTTATTGTTGATATTTACATGAACTTTATTTCGTATAGATTGGTATTTGATATATGATATATGCCAAATGATCTGGCAATAGTTCGGAATTCCGAGGATGATCCAAGCGCATAAAGAGCAGTAGCAGTTCGTTTATCCAATGGAATGGCTCGGCTAGAAAGGATCGGAAGCGAAATATTGGTCGTTGCAGCGCAGCCACATGGGCTTTCCCGTCTCCATGATCTTGACGTTTGCTTCGCGTGCGCCATTCGTCCATTAAGGCGACCTCCTGGTTAGACCGTAGATGGCCATTCCATATTCAAATGACACACGTTGACAGGCGACTGCTGGAAAAGGGCACATCTCCCTCTTTCTTGCGCACAATGTTCTTGTAGGATTTCTACCCCGTATCAGATTCTGTTCGCAGAAGCTACTGCTGTCGCGGGTCGTGTCAAAGAATTAATTAAATGACTGTTTAGATCTATATATATGAACGCCTTCTGCAGCAGATCCTTTTGCTTTCTGCCGTAATAAATGCTCAAGCAGCGTAACGTGGGATGTTGTTGCTTTCATCATTGCAGCAATGTTTCCACGTTCAAATGCTGTTCTGCGATTACAATTATCAATAACAAATTATTTAAATCCATTGTTTACTTCAGCTCGCAAATGACAATAGCACAACAGCTGTTTTCAGACGCGTTTGCCAATGGAAACACCTCCCGTCCGCCTATCGCGTTGCCAATCGAAAATACACAAAAATACCGAAAAAACCGCATAGTGGAAAAATGCCTTAAATAATTTTTATTTATTTAAAAAAAATTTAATAAATGTAGCTATGTATTTTTTTAATCCATATTTTTATAAAAATAAAAATGAGTTATTTTGTATTCTAAATTATGGAGCCAATCCAAGTAAACAAAAATGTTTCTATTAACTCATTTATGTATAATTTTAATCACTATTTATATTAAAGTCAATGGCCATAGCTGAACCCCGGCCGCTTTCCAGAGCCTTTTGCATGCACTGCTCTGTCCACCTGAGCTTCTCATCCTGCTCTTTAATCTTATTCACTGGGGTCCAGCTCAAATCGAATTCCAACCTATAGCTGCCCTTAAATGTCTGATCGACGGATAGATTCCATTCCTAAAAACAAAACGTAATTAGAATATTTTATACACAATTCGTCAAAACAAAACGTACTTCCGGCGATAGCATGCTGAAATACTTTTGACCCGATGACCGTTGATAAAGGTGGTAGATTTGCCCTGGTTTTTTTGTGAAATTGCAGGCCGCGCTGTGCAGATCTTGGTTGAGACTGGACTCTTTTAGTATATCCATGGCCTGGGCCTGAAGCATCTTGATCTGTTAAAGATTATAATTATTTCAAAGATTTCATTACAGGGGGTGTTTAACCAACCTGTTCCATTATAACGCCGAGCTTATGGCAGGTGGTGTTTTTCAACTGTTTGTCGGCATTTTGGATCTGCTGGGCCAGGGCTATGATATCTTCCTCCTGGTGCATAGAAACGCGCATCGGGTCCAACTGCAATTGGGGGTTCCTCTCGACCAGTTGGGCTGCAAACATGCAACATTTATTAGTACACCTCTCAGGACTTTTATACAGTAAATTTACCCTTCTTAACAGCTGTTTGATACGTAAGTTGGTCCATTTCAGCAACTCTTTTCATCACACGCTTTCGACCATGAATAAAAATAACCAAGATTTTGGTAAACAACTAATCTCACTGCCAAAAACAAATTAACATGTGTTCGTGTTGTTGATACTTCGCCCACAACCATCGATTACCACACAGCCTATCGATTAGTATCGAGTGCAGCTGGTTTTTGCACGGCCACCTTCAGAAAGTAGAAAGAAGCAGACCCAAATTGTAGTTGTATTTTTTAGTGCTAGCAAAATTGTGAATTTTGGCCATTTAACTATCAAATTGTAATGTGCTGGAGAGCTCGGTACAATCGTGCGGTTGCGGCGTGTTAGAAAAGTGCGAACAACGAATCGCGTTCGAGTGAATTATGACCCCTTTTGGCCGCCGTAGCAACGGTGCCCCTGCATTTTAGCGAAGGAAACACTAAATGCCCAATAAAAAGCGCACGCGCGCATAAAATGCACTATTAAAGGCCCGAGAACTTAAAGTTTTTCATTGCAAACAGCTGGAGCAAAGCGACAGTATCACAAATTGCATTGGTAAGCCCAAAACCAGAGCCATGCCCCCAATAATCGCCGTTCCCGATACCCGATTTTGCATATACCCCCATGTACATACGTATGTATATGTACGCGATATATATGCGATGTCAAAACGAGTGCTTGGACTTTCGTAAACAACACAAATCCTTGAATGATTTCGTTACTTGACCAAAAAGTCACAGCTTTTATCAGCGGGGCGATGAGGAATCAAATTTGGAATCGCAATGCCAGGCGGTACATATGTGCGTACATATATCCATCTGTCTTATCGGCATGCGTCATACGAGAGCTACTGGGCTGCACCCGCACCACAAAAACTCGGACTCCCTGGAACCGAAGCACTGGCGATCGGAAAACATATCTGGCATTTGAATAAAATTGCGTCTGCGGGCGGAAGTCCCTGTACACATAGTGCCGAAGAAATCTCGAGAAGTTTTAAATTGCCTAGCAATGCAGCATACTTTTCCACACCTTTTTAGGTGGCTTCAAACCTTCAAAGATTTGCCCCCTTTTTAGTCATGCGCCGACGGGGCCGCCATTTAGTTGACCCAATTATCAGCCAGGTCCCATCAAACTGCGCGCCCCCAGTAATGTCAAATGTCACATTTATGCTATCCTCCTTGCAGGCCGAATCGGAAATACATAAATTGAGCCAACCCAGCGCCATGCGAGCCTCCATTCCGCCCGGCATTCGAGTTGTGCGGGGACCCAATTGGATCTGGTCGAATCAAGGTAAGAACGCATTCAGGCAGCCACGAGCCAACTTGTTTACATTTAGCCACCTCCGAAGGGGCGAATTAACTTGCCATCCGCTCTCTGTTTATAGATACGTGTGTTTTTTTTAAGAGTATAGACTGAAATCGGCGTACTGTGAAGATTAGTGGGGAAACACTGATACTTATAAATACATTTTAGAATTCCCATGTTTACTGATTTATTCAGCCCTAGATAAGCTCAGATCGGATCGACGAAAACTGGGATTCATTGTACATTTTTTAGAGAAAATCACTTATTGATAACTTATAGAAAAAAAATATTTCTAGATATGGATAGTAGTAATATTTTTCATTTATTAAACGAAGATAATGCAATTGCATTATCTTGGGTGCAAATATTCTAGTTAATTTCACTTTCTTAGGGCCGTTTTCTCGTCCTTTTGTTATATATGAAATCGTATGGGAAATCTGAGTTTTAACCCTACTTTAAATTTAACAGGCGGACTAGAAAACGGCACTTAAATGGACGGTTTAATAGGCTAAATAAATGTAATATGCACTAACTATTTAATTAACAATTTTAAGTTGTGACTTTTTTCTAATTTAATGGTGTATATAACCCTTCATAATAAGAGTTCAAATTTATCTTAATTATTCAATGATATCGTTATAAAGTATGATCTATTAATGTTTAAACTTAAAATGGTCATTTCAATATGAACTCCTGATGCTATTATTATAGTTTTCTTGCCCATAACTCTGATAAAACTATTTATTTTGAAACATCTAGAGAAAATAATCAGAAATCTGTGGTTTTTTTTTTGGTGATAAGGCCATATCACAACCCATTTATGCCGCATTTTAAAATTCTAAGAAATGTAATTTGGCAATTAAAGAACATTTGATTTTGAAGGGAATTATTTCGTGACCGATATTTACTGTATACCCGAAACTCAACTCACTTGGCATTGGCAGCCGTGGAGGGTCGGAAGGGAAGGGAAGGGAAGTGAAGGAGGCGGGTGTTCGGAGGTGGCGGTACGGAGAGAGGTGTACGTCCGTGTCCGCTTCTGTTGCTCGGGGCGTTGTTGTATGTAAAGAGGACGCGCCTCTCTATTTTTAGCAACACTCACTGCCGCAGCAGCGAAATTCTTGCGCTTACCAATTGCTTCTGCTTTCGTCGCTTCGTTTTATGGTTCATACATATATGGCGGGGATGTGTGGTTCTCGATAGTATATATACACTATGGCACCCTACGTGTCAGGTAAATACACCCGTAGGCAGCTGCCCGCCAAACAATAATATTGCGTAGTTTTTAATTGAATTAATTGTCTTTAGCTGGAAAAAATTGTATCATACGTATTACAAACAATTAGTTGGTAAAGCTTATATAATTCCGAAAGCTAAATAAACTGCCTGTGGTATACCTCGTAATTAGATTTGAGTTTAGAAACCCTTAAAAATGATTTCGAAAAAGATCTTTACAAACACACGTTTTAAACCGTACGATAATAATTTTCGGCGATGTACACTTTATTTTATTATACCTCGTAATTAGATTTGAGTTTAAAAACCCTTTAAAAAATTTTCAAAAAAGATCTTTACAAACATACGTTTTTCAACCCAACAATAAGCGAATCTTAATACATTTTAAAAGGTTCTCTGTAACTTTATTCTTTGCTGATTTCAAAGGCTTGTAAAAAATTTATTCTACGTCTGGAAGTAAATACATTTTTTAGAAAATTCTATTCTACTTGGAAAATAGTAAATATTAAATTTATATACCAATTATAATTAGTAGTGATGATATTTAAAAATCCCTTTAGGGTTTTTCTAGATCGGTCACGATCATAGATTCTGTTTTAATGGTTGATTAACAGACCATACCCGATCTAAAAAAACCAGAAGCACTGGGTGTTTATAGAAATACTTTTCGCTGAGCAAAACTTTAAGCGTGTTGTAGGCTCAAACTGCAGCTGCACCGAATGCACACACGGATTAGGTCATGGTATGTGTTCCTCCCTTCCTGCAGTGCAGTTTTTCTCTCTGGAAAAAAGCCTGCGGCATATGCTATATAGATGTATATGTATGTCTGACTATCAGGCGGCAAGGGCGCGTGCCATTTTGTCTCCAACCTTTTTGGAGTGTTTATTTTTAGTCACCGGGTGTAGGGGATCGTGAGCTGTTAGTTCCAGCGGGTCTTTAGATTGGGGAGAATGTGGAGAGTTTATTTTTGGGCCTTGGTATTCCTTCAGCTGGGGTGTGTTGAAAATACACATAAACAAAAGTTTCAGATGGGAGCACGGGTATCTGTGCCCCCATTCCTCCCCAGGCCAACACCAAATGTCACCCTCTAGAGAACGTTCTCCACATCCACAGCCGTGTTTTGGGGTAATTATAGAGCAGCTGCACGTCCGAGTCCGAGTGCATAACAAAAATCCGCTTGGAGCCCGAGCCCGAGTCAATGATTGTGGGTATTTATAGTCATGGCGCGTTGTTTATGAGGGGGAAGTGTGCGTTGCATATGTCTGATATCCACCGGATGTGGATGTGGATGTGCACACAATGCAGTCCAAGGAGGAGCCTGGCTGCAGCTCTATAGATTCTCCACCACATCTCGCCAACTAACATCACATCGCTTCCAACTTTGTTTCATTGCTTACGCAACAGACGACGGAGAAGGTCACGTTGGGACCGTTTGCGAAATCGGACGTTGTGGATCGACACACTCGCCGGAAAACACCGTCGTTGTCAACTGGGATTCCGGACACCGGACCAACTACCGAGTGGGCTACCAGAGCCAGTACGACCTGATAATTGTGGATAATGCTCAAGTTGGTAAGTAAGAATGCACTTATAATTGGTCTAGGAATTCAAGTAATTGCTTAGGAAAAATACTTCTAATGGAAATATTTTTACTTTTGGTTAGAAAATTATTAATTTTAAAATTTCAATTAATAGATTTTGACTTTTTTCTTGTGTTTTTTAAAAAACGCAATTCGACAATCGCCCAATCGTCATAATAATAATTTCTAAATAAAACTAAGCATCTTTATGTATCGAATATCAGGGCTTGGAAAATAACACACACTGTAAAAAACTTGTGTTATTAACATGTTAAATGTCAAAGTGTTAAGTTAAAAAAAAAGTCATTGACTTGTGTGTAAAAAATTGTATCCTACATATGTTGGAAACATTTTTACGTGTTATTTACACGACGTGTTTTTTACACAGCGTGTTTTTAACACAATGAGTTTTTGACATTAAAGTGTCAGAATTGTATGAACATAAAGTTGCACGATTTTCTAGAGTATAAGACGAATATAGTATAATATATAGTGTAATATTATGTACCTTTTTTGATAATTACATTCGATTAATTTATTTGCAGGTGTTCGTCACTCGAATGTCGTCTGCGATGGCTGTTCCAAGGCAGGCATCGCCGGCATAGTATTCAAGTGCGCCCAGTGTGCCAACTACCATCTGTGCGCCTACTGCTACGCGGAGGATCTGCACGACTTGGAGCACCCGTTCGTCCGCTACACCTCTCCCAATTCGCTGGGCGTGCGAGTGCCGACGAGGAAGGGCTCGAAGCGCATCCAGCTGCGCGGCATCTTCGTGGGCTCCAAGGTGGTGCGCGGTCCCGACTGGGAGTGGAGCGAACAGGACGGCGGCGAGGGCAAGACGGGACGGGTAATGGAAATCCGGGGCTGGGACAACGAATCGTGTCGCAGCGTGGCCAACGTATCGTGGGTAACCGGATCGACGAACGTCTACCGTCTCGGCCACAAGGGCAACGTGGACCTCAAGTACATAACGGCCACTTGCGGCGGTCACTACTACAAGGACCACATGCCCGTTCTGGGCCAGCCGGAGGAGTTGCAGCCGGTGGCGCCGATGGTGAAGCCAAGCTTCTCCGTGGGCGACCGCGTCAAGGTGTGCCTGGAAGTCGATGCCCTGATGAAGCTGCAACAGGGCCACGGCGGATGGAATCCGCGCATGGTCGAGCACTTGTCCAAACTGGGCACCGTGCATCGCATCACGGACAAGGGCGACATACGGTGAGAATGTAGAATGTATATTTATACCCTTGCAGAGGGTATTATGATTTCAGTCAGAAGTTTGCAAGGAGATGACCCCATGAAGTATATATATTCTTGATCAGCTTCACTAGACGAGTCGATCTAGCCATGTCCGTTCGTCTGTCGGTCCGTTTCTACGCAAACTAGTCTCTCAGTTTTAAAGCTATCGGGTTGAAATTTTCCCAAAAGTCTTCTTTCAGGTTCTTTCATTGCATTTCGGATAAAATTAAAAAAAAATCGGACGACTATATTATATAGCTGCCATAGGAACGATCGGAAAATTAATGGGAAAATAATAGGAAATAAATTATAGCTTCCTTGGTTTTTATTGTATTCTCTCCTACTCTAGGATTTTATTTTTTTTTTTTAATATTTCCGAATTTTGAATTAACTTTAACAAAAATCGCACAACTTTATTATATAGCTGACATAGGAAGGTTAGAAAAATTAATGTCAAAATAATAGGAAATTTTTGCGATTTGTAAATTAATAGGAATGATCTGAAAGGGTATATAAGCTTCGGCTGGCCGAAGCTAGCTTCTTTTCTTGTTATTTATTGGATTCCTTAACATCCTGAATATCTCCAAACAGCGTCCAGTATGAGAACTGTCCCAATCGATGGACCTTCCATCCCGCCGCTCTCGTAAAGGTTGTCTCTTTTCGTGTCGGTGATCTGGTCACCATTATCAACGATGCCAACAAGGTGCAGCAGCTGCAGAAGGGCCACGGCGAATGGATCGAAATCATGCGACACGTAAGTGGAGGTTTTAAATCTTTAAAATGATATCATTCGTAACATAATTATATTTTCAGGCTCTGGGGAAAATTTGCAAGGTTGTGAAGGTCTACTCGGATGGTGACCTGCGTATCCAGCAACTAGATGACGGTTTCGAGTGGACATTGAATCCGAAATGTGTCAAACTGGAGCGTTCGCCGCTGGCCACGGCAGCCGAGCGCTCCAACAGCATGATGGACCTGAGCCACCGGCGAGCGGACCATGTGATGACGCCGCTCTCGGGCCTCTCGGGCAGCTCGGTTGCCGACAAACTGGTGCGGGAGGCAGCCCAGGGGCATCTGGATTTCGTGCGCCAGTACCTGGACGTGAATCCCGGCCAGGTGGACGTAATGAGTGGCGGCAAAGCCTGCATTCAGGTGGCCTCGCACCAGGGTTACGTCGACCTGGTCAGCTACCTCATCTCCAAGGGTGCCAATGTAAATGCGGTCGACAAGGAGGGCGACTCCGCCCTGCATTACGCTGCCTTCGGTAATCAGCCGGCCACGATGCGTGTGCTGCTGCAGCATGGGGCTGAGGTTAACTTCCTGAACTCGAGCCACTGCTCCGCACTGCACATCTGCGCGCACAAGAAAACGCCGCACTGCGTGAGAGAGTTGCTGCAGCACAACGCCAACGTTAATATCCAGGACTCTTACGGCGATACGGCGCTACACGACGCCATAGGCAAGGAGAACACGGAGGTAGTGGAGCTGCTCTGCAATGCACCCAACCTGGACTTTACGGTGAAGAATAACCGCGGCTTCAATGTGCTCCATCATGCCGCCCTCAAGGGCAACGTGGTGGCCGCCCGGCGCATCTTGTTGCTCTCCCGCCAGCTGGTGAATGTGCGCAAGGACGATGGCTTTGCGGCACTGCACCTGGCAGCTCTTAATGGCCATGCCCAGGTGGTTGAGACCCTGGTCACCGAGGGACAAGCGGAGTTGGATATACGCAACAATCGAAGGCAGACGCCCTTCCTACTGGCCGTCTCCCAAGGTCATGCCGGGGTAATCGAGCGACTAGTTCGTCTCTCCTGCGACGTAAACGCCAAGGACGAGGACGGGGACAATGCCATGCACTTGTGTGTGATCAAGAAGTCCAATCTGCAGTCTGCCGCCGAACCGCAGCCCGAGGAGGCACCGGAGATCCACAAGTTTTACCTGAGTCTAGTGCAGACGAGCGTGCGGGCCGAGGATCGACTGATGTACAGCATCCTGATCTATCTTTCACGGTCCGGCTGCCGAGTGGAGCTGAACAACGCCAATGCAAGCATTTTCGAGTGGATCACGGACCGCAATATCAGGCAGCTGATCTTCGGGCAGCAAGGCGAAGCGGAATCGCTGCCCAGGAACCTTCAAGCTCTGGAAATGTCTGCAGCCTCCGGCGAGGAAGTTTCTGCTACTACAGGAGCTGAATCCAATGGAGCTGGACCAGCAGCACCGCCGCCACCGCAGCGCCAGCAATTAGATCTAATGCCAAAGCCAAACGAGTTACCATCCGCAGGAGCAGCTCCATCGACGCCCTCCGCCTCGCCGGGCGTGAAGAAACTAAACTCGGATGCAGTGCAGCAGAATGCAGCAGTCTCGCCGCAGGTGGCGCCGCGCAAGAAGGCGCCCAAGCCACCGGTGACCTCGAGCAGTTCGGTGCTGGAGGCAGGGGCGGCGGGACCCAGCCCCAGTCCAGTCCAGATCGTTTCGGGTCCCCAGGAGTGCATCGTGTGCAATGAGATCCTGCAGCTGGTGCGCTTTGAGCCGTGCCAGCACCAGATCGCCTGCGAGGAGTGCGGCATCCGGATGAAGAAGTGCCTGCGCTGCGGAGTGGTCATCGAACGACGTCTAACCGCCAGCGGAAGGATAGTGGCCCTGCCCACTTCGACATCGTCACCTAGTGACCCCACACGCCTGCCGTCCGGGGATCTGCTGCGCTACCTGGAGAACAAGGTGCAGGAGTTCGAGGAGTCGCACTTCTGCGGCATTTGCATGGAGCGAAAGCGGGACGTGGCCTTCCTCTGCGGCCATGGAGCCTGCTCCCACTGCGCCGAAACGCTTCGCACATGCCACATGTGTCGCAAGACAATACTCAAGAAGATCAACCTGTACTGAGCGAAGGAAAAGGAAGCGGAAAAGGAACCGGAACCGGAAACGACAGCAATTCAACCAGCAACCAAAGTGGCTTGTATATATACATACGCAAAACAAACACTGAACACACACCCACATTGCCGTGCGTCATGTGCAACTCGAACTAATTATTTATTGATCACCGACGAATTTTACGCGTTCTTTTTGTAACGGTTTATCAACGGCATCGTATACATAAACAAATTATTGTGCACCCTTCACGTGTCTAGTTATTAGCCTCGTTCAACCATGTCTGGTAACGATAAAAAATTAGGAAACAAACTAAAAGCATAAAGATATTTAATAGTCATTTAATTGCAAATATACAAATATAAAATTATTCATAATGTGTGTTAATCGATGTTGGGCGGGTAACATTGTACACTGTACAATGTACAGTATAAAATATTAAAACTTTATTGGGTAGAAAAGTTTTATTTTTGTAGAAAACTGTATCAAAAAATTATTATAATATTTTGGAAAAGGCTTTTTTACAAGAATGAAATATTTAGAAGAGAGAAAGTGTGAACGGGCTGCTTTCCATGGTGTGAACAGCGGTTAGTTTTTAAATGTTTACCTAAATTTTTATTCATTTGCCTTTTTCCTTTTCTAACAATCCCGTTACTTAAGATATTTATTTAGTAGATATAAACAAATATCCAAAGCAAGAAAACTCAAATTGCTTGCTTTTTTTAGAAAATCAATCGATATTTAAAGCATCTCTCGCCTATCGATAACTACAGTGAGTACGCAGCAAGAAAAAAAGCAAACACGTCACAACACTTTAGCCGCAGTCCCACGCGTAAAAGAGATTAGGACAAAATGGCCAAACAAGTGGCCGACTTCCAGGGCAGCAAGCTCCAGTTCTACCAGAAGCTGGCCCTGGCCATCATCCTGGGAGCCGTGCTCCTCTCCCTGCCGGCATTATGCGCCGGCCAGGGCAATCCCAGTTTCAAATACTCGCGGGAAGCCAACGAAAACTTTGATCCGCAGAGCGCTCCGCGGGCGGAGCATCATCACCACCACGACCACAATCATGGGCATCATCATCATCACGATCATGATCACGACCACGATCATGATCATCACCACGACCACGATCATGGACATCATCATCATCACGGGCACGGAGAAAGTCACACCAAGTCAAAGCCGGCTTTGGGTAAGGCAAGCCGCTTAGATCTATAAAACCAAGATGACCCAAATTTCTCACTTACAGATATGAGCACAATTTGGCTGCACTCCATCGGCTCCACTCTGCTTATCAGTGCCGCTCCCTTCGTGCTGCTCTACATCATTCCCCTCGACAACAGTGAGGCGATGAAGCCGCGTCTCAAAGTTCTGCTGGCCTTCGCATCCGGCGGCCTGCTGGGCGATGCCTTCCTGCACTTGATTCCCCATGCCACGCATCCGCATAGCCATGGAGAACACGACCACGACCATGATCACCATCATCATCATCACGAGGGCGAGGAGCACAACCACGAGCACGGTCACAGTCACGACATGAGCGTTGGCCTGTGGGTCCTCGGCGGAATCATTGCCTTTTTGTCGGTGGAGAAGCTAGTTCGGATTCTTAAGGGCGGTCAGGGAGGACATGGACATAGCCATGGAGCCCCAAAGCCCAAACCAGTAGCTCCCAAGAAGAAGTCATCCGACAAGGAGGACAGCGGCGATGGAGACAAACCTGCCAAGTCAACCAAAGCCAAGTCCAAGAAACCAGAAGCCGAGCCCGAGGGCGAAGTGGAGATTTCTGGCTACCTAAACTTGGCCGCCGACTTTGCCCACAACTTCACCGACGGTCTGGCCATCGGTGCCTCGTACTTGGCGGGCAACAGCATTGGCATTGTGACCACCATCACCATTTTGTTGCATGAAGTGCCCCACGAGATTGGCGACTTTGCCATTCTCATCAAGTCTGGTTGCTCCCGGCGAAAGGCGATGCTGCTGCAGCTGGTCACAGCCCTCGGTGCGCTGGCTGGCACAGCACTGGCTCTTCTGGGCGCTGGCGGCGGAGACGGATCTGCACCATGGGTTCTGCCCTTCACCGCTGGCGGTTTCATCTACATTGCAACAGTGAGCGTCCTGCCCGAGCTGCTGGAGGAGTCCACCAAGCTGAAACAGTCGCTGAAGGAAATATTTGCGCTTCTCACCGGCGTAGCCCTTATGATTGTCATCGCCAAGTTCGAGTAGAACGACCTTAATTTCTTGTATTTCAATAATCAGTTCTCGCGATTATTTAAGAGTTTGTAAGCCTTCAAAATTTGCGCTTTACTTTGAAATGAAATTTTTATAAATAGTCAAAAATACAATGTAAAAAGAAACCTCACGGACGCTTCTCCCCATTGAGGGTGGCCTTAATCTCGTTTAGGCAATACTCGGCCTGCTCAATGGCATCGGGATTCTGGTGCTGCTTGCCCAATTTCCACGCCAGCCGACAGGCGTTCTCCGCTTGTGCCATTAGACCTTCGCGCAAGTAAACTAAACCGAGATTGGCCTGTAGAATGCCCTCCTGTGTGGCGTCCTTCAGCTCCTTGGCCAGCTCCATGGCCTGCTCCAGGGTTTCCCTCGCCTCTGGGTATTTCTCCAGCTGCAGTAATTATCTATTAATTTATCTAAGGGACAACGGATAGCTAAAACAAGACCTACATTCACATACGCCACACTAATGTTATTCAGGATGGTCACGGAGGCCTCATTGACGGCACCATAAACATCGATGAGCGTGTCAAAGGCCTCCTTGAAGAGGTTCCTGGCCTCCAGGTACTTGCCCTGCTTCATCAGCAGCTGGCCGAACCTGAAAGAATAACCACAAGGAAATACATAAACTGTGACTGCAATTTTAAGCTGGTTAGCGGCAATGGAACCACCTTCAATACCAATTCTTTGTCAGGCCATATAGCTCCAAAATGTCCTTGTCGTCGGGCATTTTCTCCAGCAGTTTGGCCAGCTGCTTAAGCGTCCAGGTGAAGCCTTGAAAACTCTTCTCCAAGTCACCTTGCAGCTGCGACATGTGCGCTATTTTGGAGCTAATGTGGAGAATCTAGGGATGAAAGAGATCTTAACTGGAGAAGGAGTCTAAGTGGGTCACCTACCTTGGGACTTTCTTCCGTGTGGCCGTCGGCAAAGAGGCGTTTCATCACATCCGTAAAGATCTTCTCCGCCTTCTTGAACTGCTCCCGTTCCATGGCCAAATTGGCCATCAGATCGAAGACGTAGGTGATGCCATCCTTGCTCTGAATATCCTGGGCCATTCGCAGGGCCAGGTGGAGCATCTGCTCGGCCTTGTCGTACTGCTCCCGCTGGATGCAGAGGATCGATCGCTTGATGGTCTTGACCAGCTTGTCCTCCGGAGTCTCCTCCTTTTCGTCGCCGCCACCGAAGAGATTAAAGGTAAAGGCAGCGGAAAAGGCCCAAAACATTCCACCGGAAGAGCTTGGAGCGGGAGGAGTTGTCCAGGACACCTGGTGACCCCCTGCATAGGTGCACAGTGGTCGTGATCCCAGTCCTGACCGTTGGCGTTGACTGATCCTCCGCAGCGGCGCCAGATGACTGTACTCCCTGGGATTGGGGACCAGCCGGAGCCTGCCCATGACTTGGGTCAATTTGACAATGTTTTTCACAATCATATTGTTGGGCTCAATTCATTTTTTAGCTAAAACCTATTATAAGCAGGTATTTTGCAGGTACGGATTGAAACTTATGAAATAGTGCACAGTGCAGTGTTGCAAAGCGCGTTAAATGAGTTTTTAAAATGCATTTTGTAGCGTTTCAGAATTTTAATTTTAAGATTGCTTATTAGCTATCTTTAAAATCATGTGCCAAAAATAATTAAGGCTTTTCGGTTATTTTTTCAAAAATGTTTTGAGGTTTTTTTAAATCGTCATATCGCTTAGAGATGACACCGGCGGAAAAAACATTGTTGAGCAAGGGACTTAACGTTAAATTACTAATTGTTCCATATAGCTATAAATAAGGAATTATATATAATTACACGACTAGTTTCAGTAATAAAATTGGTTTTTATTTATTGACACTCGCTATTCTATTCCCACCCGATGTTTTTAGCACGAACTATCGATAGGCGGCCCACGCACGATAGACCCGCACGAAGCAACCCTGCATATTGATGGCGGATTGACGCTCTTTCGCTGGCCTGGCAAAATAAATTTTCTTTACCGAGAAAAAGGTGCAGGAAAGGACGAGGAGTGAACTCGAGGAGCAGTGCATGAAATAGCTGTGGGTCCGCCGGCGTTACCTACGTTTTATTTCAGATCTTTCCAGTGTCGCAGTGTCGCGTTGCGAGCGTTTTAGTGGGCAGCCATGAGACGGCGCAGCGAGAGAAAAAAGTCGTCGTCGCCCGCCCCGGTGCCGGTGGCAGTTGCACGGCGAAGTCGCCGCTCCCGCAAGGTGTCCGAGACCGAAAAGCCGGAGGACGAGGCCCCGGTTGCGGCCCAGAAGGAAATCCCGGACGCCGACGTCCCGGTATTGCCGCAAGCCTCTGCGGCGCGCGAAGAAATCAATGAGGCTCGCGCCTCCAGCGAGGAACGTGCCGGATCCGGATCGTCGCCAGTGCGCAAGAGTCGCGGCAGCCGGTCGACGCCGAAGAAGCGCACGGAGGCCAAGGGCGGCGACAAGAAGGTGGACACTATACCCGAGGAGGAGCCCGAGAACGGCAAGGAGGAGGAAAAGGCTGTGGAGCCGCCGGCTGCTCTAGAGAGCGAGTCCGAAGACCTGGCCAAGAAGGAGGATGGACCAGTGGAGGAACTGGTAGCCCAGCCTGAGCCCACTGAAGCCAAGGATAAAGAGGAAGATGACAAAGAGGAGGAAAAACCACAACAGGATGCCCCAGCTAGCGAGCCAGTTCAAGAGGTAAAGGTTCCTTCTCCTTCCAGCAAGGATGAGGAACATCTAAAAACGTCTAGCGATGTATTAGACATTCAGACAGAAGAGGTCGAGGAAAGGGACGACGATGCCCCGGCTCCTGCGGAACGCAGGGAGTCCAAGAAGAGGCACAAGGAGCCGAAACAGGAACAGGAGGCCGCCGCCGCGGAGGAGGAGGAGCAGAAGGAGAACCGCAAGCAGCAGGAGGAGAAGCCAGAGCAAACTCAGGACGAACCAGCAGATCTTTCCAACGACAAGCACGAGGCATCTGTAAACAGTAGCTCAGCCAACACAACAGCCGCTCCAGTGCTGCAGCAACAGCGATCCGTGCGCAAGCGCAAGTGGCTGACGAACAAAAAGTCCTCGGATCGCGCCCCACCAGTGCTTGCCATTTCGACGGATTCCCTGAAGAACATCATAGCCGATGTGGTGCAGCCGGTGCCGCTCAGCGATGTGCAGCTGGAATCCTCGTCGGAGGAGGAGGGCCTGGTCACCAGCGATCGCGACTCTGAGCGTTCCGCTTCGCCAGCATCCGCCTCCGAGGGGAGGAAGGATCGCGACACCGAGGCCATTACCGTCACCACCTGCAACACCGAAGCAAAGGCGGCGACAGATAAGGTGGACACAGAAGCCACTGGTCGGACCACTCCGACGGCAGCCGCGGACACGGTGCCGGCTCAGGGCAAAGCCACAGTTGCCACCGCAGCGCCACACATTGTCCGAGACCCTAGTCCTGCGCGCAACCGCGCCAGCCATGTGCTCTACATCACCAATCTGGTGCGTCCCTTCACAGTGCTGCAGCTGAAAGGTCTGCTGGCGCGAACGGGAAAGATCGTCGAGGAGGATGGTTTCTGGATAGATCGCATCAAGTCTAAGTGCTTTGTTGCCTACTCCACTGAAGAGTGAGTATTAAAAAGATCTAGTTGCTTGTCAGTAGAAATCGGTTTTTAGGTGCAATCGTTTTTTTTTTAAAGCCACATTTAATTGGTTAACATTTTTTTACAAAAACCTCAATATATAATAATATAATAATTTTTATTTTACCTAATTTAATTTTTAACAAACATGTTACTTTTGTAGCGAAGCTATCTATTAAAAGGATTTAGTTGCTTGTCAGAATAATTGAGGATTTACTCTAAAAAATTCCCAATTTAAGCCTTAAAAGTTTCTTTATAAGAAGTTAATCAAAATTTTAAATAAAATAATTTATATATTACTTAATCTAATTTTTAACAAACGTTTTACTTTTGTAGCGAAGCTATTGAAACCCGCCATGCCCTGCACGGAGTTCGTTGGCCCGTCTCGAATCCCAAATGTTTGAATGTGGATTTTGGCAGTCGCACAGACATGGACCGTGCAATACTATCAACGAAGGACGAGGCTCCCAGGTATGGCCAGGAGAATACCAGAGATAACCAGCAGTCGGGCAACGCCTGGTCCCGATTGGAACCGTCTGATAAAAAGGTAATGGACAGTTGTCATAGCAACGTGGCAAGGAAGCTTATTTATCTTTTATTCGTACAGCCTGTGCGTCCCGTACGCGAATGGGATGTGGGCAAAAAGGAGCCGAGTGACCACGACAAAGCCAACAACGACAGACATCGGGGGAGCAAGGATCGACTGGAGTCGAGATCTCGGGATGCGGATCGCGCCGGACAGGATCGCAAACGTTCCAGGGACAGGGAAGGGAGAGGACGCGAACGGGAACGCGAGCGGAACGATCGTAATGCACACGCAAGAAGCCGCAGTGGATCACCAGGTAATACGCATTCAAAAAAGTTTATACACAAGAATAATACATGCCAATCTCTACTAAACAGTGCCCAAAACTAAAAAGAAGGAGAATGAACCGCCTATCAGGCTATTAGATGACCTATTTCGTAAGACTAAGGTAACTCCTTGCATCTACTGGCTGCCGTTAACGCCGGAAGCGGTAAGTACCAACCTTAACCCTAAAAGCAGGGTTCGGAATTTGACACACATGTTAAAAACATGAAAAATTTTATTTTACAGTGTGAGCATGTGTCAAATACAAAGGTGTAAAATGCGAAAAATAATTGTTAACACGCACAGCCGACTTGTGTTTTTCACACAACGTGTTATAAGCACGCCGTATATTTTACACAATGTGTTTTTAACACGATGTGTTTCGCTGTGTGAAAAAAAAACCTGTGTTAAAAACAGGTCGTGTTAATAACACGTCGTGTAAATAACACAAATGACATGTGTGTGTTATTTATGTTTCTAACATATGTAGGCTACTATTTTTAACACACATGTCAATAACTTTTTTTTAATCCCAACACTTTGACATTTAACATGTTAATAACACAAGTTATTTACAGTGTGTGTTATTTTCCGAACCCTGCCAATTAAAAAATATATATTTAAAGTTATCTAGTACTAAAATATTTTTTATATCTTCATTCAGATCGCAGAAAAGGAGGCACTCCGCCAGAAACGCATCGAGGAGCATGACAAGCGCATCAAAGAGCGGGAGGATCGCCAGAAGGAGCGTGAGAAGGATCGTGACCGTCAGCGCGACACGCGGCGCAATCGTTCCAATGAACGGCGACGATCGCGCAGTCGCGAGCGGGAGCGACGACGTTACTAGGCGGAGGCTTGAGATTGAGCAAATAAATGTTGAAATATCTCAAAAACTAACATCAACATCCAAAAAAAAAAAAAACCTAAAATGATAAAACAGCAACTAAAACTTCTGCAGGGTCCCATCACCACCCGAATTCTTTCTATTTTTTTCGAGCGTTTTGCGCTCCCAAATATACCGACGTTGTAATATTCAACTTGAAGTGAACGCCCTTCGATTTGAATATTTCCACCAACGTCCCAATCCATATTCTAATTTTGAGATTTCGAACTCTCTTTTTTCCGTTATTTTTCTCATTGTTGTTGATCCATATATATATACCGCATATATATTTCCATATATATATATAACCTGATTTGATTTCTTTCCTCAAATGTAGCATTTTACAGCGCCTAACGTCACCTCACCCCAAAAACAACCGCAGCAACGCCAGAAAAGCGACCGGCATCTCGGCATCAACGCATTGGAAACTTACCATCGGAATCTAGAAACTCTTGCAGCAAGTTACCATGCTTACATCTATATATATTAAACAAACAGAAATCAATTGATTGATTAATTGTAAAATCAATGTTTCTTAAAATTTTAATGAACTTAGAAATACAATTTACCAACAGTCGGCAAACTTGTGACAATGCCAAAACCATAAATGTGTTTTAAATGTCTGAGAAATAAACTTTAATTTCGATCGACTCAACTGAAATTGTATGTTTGTGTTAGAGAATTCAATGAATTATTTTGAATTTATTGCTTTATATGAATGAATTAATTAGAATTTTGAGTTAAATAGAATTGAATGAATTTGAATTTTGAGTTTAATAGGATTGAATGAATGAATGGCATGATTTCCGAAATAATTTAAACGACAATTTCTTTTGAAAAAGAAAGGGCCATAATTTTGTGATTAAATCTGCATGAATTTTATTTTCTAAGCAGTTAACATTTGTTTGTTAAAAATTTTCCACTTTTTGTTCTCAAAAGAAAGCACAAAAAAAAATCTGGCAAATTAAAAAATTCTTAAAAATGGTTTATTCATTCAATAAATTCGAAATGAATTAGAAAAACATTAAACTTATTTCACATAGAATTGAATTAAACAAATCAGAAATTTCATGGCATACTAAAATAAAACAAAAATTTAATGATTCATATATATTCATATTCACATATTACTAGGTACATTAGTAACAAATATGAAGTCCAACTTTAATATATCCCTTAAAAGAAAAAAACCGTTTCCAGAATCCCGCTATAAAAATGTACCTAAAAACCTATCGATAGTTCATGTTAACAAAATATCGAAACCGCTTACGAATATGTGTCACTTGTGTTATCGATGAGTTTTATTTTTTATTAACATTAATTTAGTGAAAAAATGTGGTCCGACACAATATTAATTGTATTTATATCGGTGTGCACCGCCTTCCTGGGCGAAGGTGAGTGAAAATCCAGTAAATTTATGCCACCTAACCCCTTTCTGCTTTCAGGTCTCACCTGGGTGCTGGTTTACCGGACGGAAAAGTACCAAAAGCTGAAGACCGAGGTGGAAAAGCAGAGCAAAAAGTGTAAGTCGGTCAGAGGTTCCTATATGAGGGTCACGAGATAACCCGCATTTTCTCGCAGTGGAGCGCCGGAAGGAGATCCATGGTGACTCCCTGGACAAGGCGGTGAAGAAGAAGATCGAGCGGGATGAGGAGAAACTGAAGAACAACAACCGCGACCTTTCGCTGGTGAAAATGAAGTCCATGTTTGCCACGGGCTTCGCCTTCACCGCCTTGCTGAGCATGTTCAATAGCATCTTCGATGGCCGCGTCGTTGCCCAGCTGCCCTTCACGCCCATCTCCTGGATCCAAGGGCTCAGTCACCGGAATCTTTCCGGCGATGACTACACGGACTGCTCCTTCATCTTCCTCTACATTCTGTGCACCATGTCCATTCGCCAGAACATCCAGAAGCTGCTCGGCTTTGCCCCGTCGCGCGCCGCCAGCAAACAGGGCGTAGGTCTCTTTGGACCCGCTCCCGGCCAGTTCAAATAGTTCAAATTTCACACATTAAATTAGCTGCATTTAGTTCGCAATGCACCCATCAACAATTCTAGCTTAAAACATTATTCAACTCGTACATGGGTTGGTCCACAATCAGCCTGTCGAAGCTCAGGCGCGACAGGTCGATGGTTCGGAACTGGCCGTCCATGATCAACTCGGATATGGCTCTGCCCACGGCCAGGGATTGCTGGACTCCGTGGCCGCTGAAACCGGTGGCCAGATAAAGATTGTGGTAGTACGGATGGGCGCCCAAGATGCCGTTCTCGTCGTAGACATTCTGATCGTAGCTGCCCGTCCAGCTGTCCAAGACTTGAGCTTCTCCAAGGGCGGGTATGCGCTCCGCTAGCTTGGATCTGATGTGTTGATCGAAGGAGTGCAAATTCCCCTCCTCATAGGAATCCATCCCGCATATGTAGTTACCACCCAGGCCATCTCTACGTATAAAGATGCCCGATGGATCAATAGTCATGGGCATCGCCATGCCAGGTGCACTTTGAGCCTGCGAATTGAGGGCGTACATAAACCGCTTCCTTTCATCGATGGGCAGCGGAACCTGCAGCATTCCTGGGCCCACTCCAATCTTCGCCAATCGTGCCACCTTTCCCGAACTGGCGCCCGCTGCAATCACACACAGGGCAAACTTGCAACTACGTCTCGTGCCGTCGGGCAGTTGGATTACCGCCTTTTCCAGACCCGTGTAGTTGCCCTCGTTGGCGCCGGCATCTCCGACCACGGATATGTCTGTTTGGGACTTGAATTCGAAGCCAACCACCTGGCCGCTGAGGAAGTGTGCGCCGTAGCCGCTGGCCGAACGCCGGAGATTGCTGAGCAGAGCCAAGGGATTGAACCAGCCCTCCTTCTCCAGGCCAAGGCATCCCAAGGCGACGCCGCTGACGTTCAGCCAGGGAAATCGCGCCGCCAGTCGATCCGCCGTGAGCACTTCGTTCCGGGCGCCCAGTTCGTTTTGCAGCTGGGAGGAGCGCATCAGGCTTTCGGCGTGCTCATCGTTGGCTAACATGAGGTGGCCATGTGGGGTGAATTGAAGGGGCACCTCCTGGCCAAAGTGCTCCTTGGCGCCGCGCAAGAAGTCGGCGGCAAAGAGCGACATCTGTATGTTTTCGGGCAGGGAGAACTGCTGGCAAAGGCCGCCCACAGAAACGCGGGTGGCGGAGTGGGCATACTAGAAAAAGAGGAAAAAGTTAAGGGATATATTTGTAGATGTTATATAGGTTTCCTTACTGTATCATCCTTCTCCACCACCATCACATTGAGGCCATCGCGAGCCTTCTCCTTCAGCCAGTAGGCAATGGAGCTGCCCACTCCTCCGCCGCCAATGATGAGCACATCGCAGTGGGTCTGAAAGTCATCTGGAGCCGTTGGATCCCTTGTCCGCTCCCCGGCAAATTGGAACTTTCCCTGGGTCGCAATACGATCGTCTTCAGATTCCTTCTCCTTGGGAACAAAGAACTCCTTGACTTTGCGCATATCGTTGCCCAGCAAACGAAGGGTTCGTCTTATCGGGTGCAGATCATCTTCGCCGGATTTGTCGCCGCCGGGTGATCCACTTGTTGCTCCAGACGAGTAGTTTCGGCGCTGCGACAGCCGCAAAATATTTCTGTACCGCAACATTATAGCCTATATTTACAATAACTTAATTCATATTTCTATTCCAAATTTTATATCTTATTTTGTAACAGTGATAACGTGCGAAGTGATGTTATCGGTGTATCGATATCGGACAAGCTAAGGGCATTTTTACCTCTTTGAATACAATAAAAGTTAGTTGGAACAGGAATAGTAATCACTTTCTTAATATTGTGTATTAGCTAACACAATTAAAAAATCAATTAATAATTTTTTTATATTTATCCATATCAGAACTTTCTCGCAGTGTATTACTGAACCAATCGATATATTAAAATCGATATATTTAACAGCGCTGTTAGCCAAGCACACTTTCCAACACTTGCTGTTAGCCGAAAAAGAAGAAGCAGAAGCAACATTACTAGGCATTTTTGATTTGGATTGGGGAGAAAAAACAAAAGAAAAGTCGGCCATAATTGTGACATTAGCAAATTGAGAGTTCTACAACATGACCAACGCAACGGACATCGGTGCCCACGACGTGGAGATGGAGGTGGATCCCACCGCCGAGACGCTGGCGGATGAGAAGAAGAACCAAGATGTGGCCGCAGTGCAGGAGATCCGCGAGCAGATTCGCCAGATTGAGAAGGGGGTGGCCTCCAAGGAGTCGCGGTGAGTGGTTAGCTCCTCATAATATTATCCATTACTTACAGTAGCTTTTCTTGCCCCGCAGCTTCATCCTCCGCGTCCTGCGCAATCTGCCCAACACGCGCCGCAAGCTGAACGGCGTCGTCTTCCGCAATCTCGCCCAGAGTATTTATCCGGCTGGTGCCGATCGAGAAGCGGCCGTGGCCTTGATGCCCGCCGTCGAGAAGGATGCCACGGAGCTGCCCGACGTGCCCAAGAAGCAGGTGGCCAGCAAGGCTCCCATTGCCGAGGTGGATGCCTATTTCTACCTGCTCCTGCTGGTCAAGTTGATCGACGCCAGCGACTTGAAGCGCGCCGGAACCTGCGCCGACGCTTTGATGGCCAAGATCTCCATCCAGAACCGACGCACCCTGGATCTGATCGGAGCCAAGTCCTATTTCTACTTCTCCCGCGTGGCGGAGCTAAAGAACTCCCTGGAGGGCATCCGCGCCTTCCTGCACGCCCGCCTGCGCACCGCCACCCTGCGCAACGATTTCGAGGGCCAGGCGGTGCTAATCAACTGTCTGCTGCGCAACTATCTGCACTACGCTCTTTACGATCAGGCCGACAAGCTGGTGAAGAAGTCCGTGTACCCCGAGTCGGCCAGCAACAATGAGTGGGCCCGCTTCCTCTACTATTTGGGTCGCATCAAGGCTGCCAAGCTGGAGTACAGCGATGCGCACAAGCATCTGGTGCAGGCATTGCGCAAATCGCCGCAGCACGCAGCCATTGGCTTCCGCCAGACGGTGCAAAAGCTGATCATTGTGGTGGAGCTGCTGCTGGGCAACATCCCAGAGCGCGTGGTCTTCCGCCAGGCGGGCCTTCGTCAGTCCCTGGGCGCCTACTTCCAGCTCACGCAGGCCGTGCGTCTGGGCAACCTGAAACGCTTCGGCGACGTCGTTTCCCAGTACGGACCCAAGTTCCAGCTGGACCACACGTTCACTCTGATTATACGGCTGCGCCACAATGTAATCAAGACGGCCATTCGGTCCATTGGTCTCTCGTACTCGCGCATTTCGCCGCAGGACATTGCCAAGCGACTGATGCTGGACTCCGCCGAGGATGCCGAGTTCATCGTGTCGAAGGCCATACGGGATGGAGTGATTGAGGCCACGCTGGACCCGGCCCAGAACTACATGCGCAGCAAGGAGAGCACCGACATCTACAGCACCCGGGAGCCGCAGCTGGCCTTCCACGAGCGCATCTCGTTCTGCCTGAACCTGCACAATCAGAGCGTGAAGGCCATGCGCTATCCCCCCAAGTCCTACGGCAAGGATCTGGAGAGCGCCGAGGAGCGACGCGAGCGGGAGCAGCAGGACCTCGAGCTGGCCAAGGAGATGGCCGAGGACGATGAGGATGGTTTCTAAGCGGCTGCTGCAGCAGTTCGATTTCAGCTTGAATTCATTTTTTATAGAAACTTAATCCGCAATTAAATAAGTAACAAAATTAAAGGCACTTTAATGAATGTTAAGGGGTAGTATTTGGTATTAATCTTTCAAAGTTACGTATGTTTGTAGGAAAATAATATCTTTTCTTATTTGTTTACTGAATATTCTTCAAAAGAAAAAATCCGGAATACAATTTTGAAAATCACACAGTCTGGCAGCCCTGGCGGTCTTATTTAAAAAATCTGGCAATAGCGAATTTAAAACATGTTCAATAATATCAAAGCTATTTTACTAAAGTGTCGTTAGGTAGAAGCAGTATATGTATTATTGTGACAAATTTAACTTAAAATACAATAAAGTTTTTAAAAACGACTTTAAAGAAACGCACTTTTTATCGTCGAGTATTTCGGCCACTGCCATCCACGGCCACACTGTCGCAAACAACACCACGGTCACACCGAGTTGGAAGGGAAATAGAAAATTTTTGACAAAAATGCAAAAAATGCAAACCAAATAGAGTGCGCACGCATTATATGCCCAGATCCGCGAGTCCGCCCACGCTGACGTAGCATAATTGTCGCCGCAAAAGTTTCGGACGCGCGCGCTGCGAGGAATATCGCGTAAATTGCAGAATTTTTGGCAGCAACGAGTAGTCTCCCCGAATAACAGCGGCCGACCAGCGAGTGTTTGCGAAGCAGCGAGAGCTGGCCAATGTGGTGCAGCCCCCCCGCCACCCGCCGCCCGCGCACCCCCTACCCCGCTAACGCGCAAAATATACGCGACTAGTTGTAGTTGTGGGCAGCAGAATAGCAGCAGTGGCAGATCAGCTCGGCCTTTGTGAGCAGATTAGTGGCGAGGAAGCCAGCGAAAAGCCAATTAGCAGCCTGCCGGGAAGCTGGGCCGGTGTCCAGGAGCGGATCCCCCAGCCAGCCTTCGACGATTCCGGCTGTGATGCAGCAGCTGCTGCCACCTAACGAGATTCTGGACGCCTTTTGCACCCACCACACGTAACTAGAGCACTCACACAGACACGCAGCGCGCCCGCACACACACACACACGCTCACATAGGTGGACAGGCCAACTGGCGAACGGCCACAGTAGCGAGTGGCCATTGATGCAGTGCAGCCGCTTGCAGCAGGGATTCGGGATCGGTAGGTGAAAAGGACGGGGACAAAAGTGGAGATGATTTGCAAACAGGACGTGCTGCTGTGGTTTGAGAAACTCGAGAGCTACAATCGGATCGAAACGATGTACGCCCTGCTCACCGCCTGCCTGCCGTTCGAGCTGCGCTTCCTGGGCACGCTGCTGGAGGAGCAGGGCCGCTGCGACTCGGAGACGCTGCGCGGCATGGAGCTGCGGGCGAACAATCCGCAAGAGCTGGCCGCCGACATGGTCAACTGCCAGAAGGGCGATCCCACCGACCGCAAGATCCGGCGCAAGATGGCCCTCTATCTAGCGCTAATCCGCGCCTGCAACCGGAACTGCGTCAGTGAGATCTACCGCACGCTGGAATGCTGGGGCGAGTGTGATTTCGGCTGCATCAACGACCAGGACACGCTGTTGGAGCTCCTGCTGGTCTACACGATGGCCGCCATCCACCCGGTTTTCTCCATGGAGGAGCAGAAGAAGATCTTCGGCATACTGGCCAAGATCAAGGAGAATAAGCTGGTGGCTGAGCGATTTGTGCCGCAAGTGCAGGCACAGACGACGCAGATGCCGGCTCCCCAGCACCCGCACCCGCCGTCCCCGCATGACCTGATCCTTCAGCAGCCGCAGCATGTGATCCACCAGATGACAGGACCACAGCAGCCGCCACCGCATCCGCAGATGGTGCAGGTGCTGCAGACGCCGCAGGGCAACATCCCCATGATCTTTCCCCAGCACTTTTCCAAGGTGAGTTTACAAATACGAACCCACAACTGAATGGAGATGAAAATATAATTATTTGATTCCCAGCTTATGCCCAGCTCTGATGGAACGCACCAGATCAGCGTCGACGGCATGCCGCATTTGATGCAGCCGAACATCATTCCAGCCGACACGAGTGCCATCATCGGTCACCAGAACACGGGGTGGACGATGCGCCACTATGTGCCACAACCGCCCCACCAACAGCCCGCTCTGCAGCAGCAGCAGCAGCCGCAGAGTCTGGACCATCAAGTGCCACCGGCCAGCTCGCCCATGCTCAGCCAGCAGTCCTCGCCCTCGAGCAGCCGCACCACCAGTCCCCAGCGGGACCGCTCCCTCATCAACGTTCCACTGCAGGCGCAGCAGCATCAGCAGCAGCAGCAGACGCAGCAGCCGATGAGGAGCATGTCGCAGAGACTGGCGGGTCAGAAGAACGCGCGACGTCCTTCGGCGGAGACAACGCCGCCGCCCACCTCGATTGGCGGCGAGCAGCAACACGATGTAAATATCAGATAATTAAAGAAGTAGCCTTATTTGCAATGATATTACAAGAATTACAGGAATTTGCCTCTTTCGAAAGTAAATTCATAGTAGATTACAAACCTTTAGTTTCGAAAAATCATCAACAATATGATAAAATGATGATAATTATTTTCAAATCTATATAAATCGTTTCTAAAGTCAAGCCAGATAAGAAAATCAATTGTTTTCAAAAGTTTCTATGCAAAACATTCTAATGCGCCTTAAAAACTTTCTTTTGTTTGACACAAGTCCTCGCCAATGTAAACCATTTATATGTTTTTATGGAGTATCAACGCCAAACTAAACATCTCATATTTCTTACAGAGTATCAACGAAGGCGGCAGCAGCAATTCCAGCGGAACAAGCCTGCACAGTCTGATCCGCAACGGTTTTCCTCGCCCAGGACACCACCATCGGGTCAAGGCGAACACTTTCATACCACAGCAGCACCAGCAGCAGCAGCACTTTCAAAACCCCAACTACAACATGAACGTGATGATGCAGAGTATGAACATGAACGACGATGGCAGCGGTTCAATGATGGGCATGAACTCCACCAAGAGTGCGGCCACCACGGGCAGTGAATCGGGCAGCTCGAATGGATCCTGTGGCGACCTGTCGCCCTCGGAGACGCCAACGCCCACACAGCTCTCACTGCCACTGCACGCTTCGGTGGATGCGGGCATGGGCATGATCACCACAGTGCTGCCCACCAACCTCGGCAGCTATCAGCCGAAGCAACACCACCTTAGCTACAAGCAGCAACAGCAACTGAACTTGCAGCAGCGGCTAAACGGACGCAATGGGATGGATAAGAGCTATCAGCAAGTCTACACGACGGGCACGCCGAGCATCGTCAGCGATGCGCAGACCATCAGCAGCGGCAGCCTGCAGCAGCAGCCTCTGCTCATCAGCCAGTCGCCGGTTAGCACGCCGACGACAACGGTGCTTCTGCAGCCGCAACAACCGCCACCCACAGCCTACAACACAAGCTATCCATATCACCAGCGAGGACCACCGCCGCCGCAGCAGACGATATTCCAGGCGCACAGTGCGCCGCCGCCGCCGCAGACGGTACGCGGTGGCTACCGTTACCCGATGGCACCGCCGCCGCACAACGGTGAGCTCATCTACCCGGCCTTCCACACCAGCCTGGCCTTCCTGCCGATGACGGCGGGCGGAACTCCCACGGCGGTGACGCCGCCGCAGCTGCAGAGTTCGGCGGCAGTGGTCAGCACGAATGCGGTGACCGTTCAGACGGTACCGACGCCCCAGCAGCAGCAGCAGGTTCCCAGCACGACGCCCTACAGCGCCCTGACCGTCTGTCCCATCACGGGAGCGGGCGGAGGCGGGAACGGACAAAAGGTGATTTCCTGCTACAACTGCGGATCGCAGACGCACAGCGGGCGCGAGTGCCAGGAGGCGTCCATGGAGGATGTGACACGGAGTGCCAGCTACAAGTTGGACTACTCGGAAACGAGTCTGGATGCAAACTCCACCGGCGATCACCACAAGGATGTGAGCGGCATGCAGCTCAGTTCGGCGACGACGGCGGGAACGGTGACCAGTACGGGGAAATAATACGGAGGGTCCATATATCCAATTACATATATGGAAATATAATTACTGCTATATATTAATGATTATCCATAATCCTTACCTACTTATACGAATTACCATTTATTATGATTGTGTAGTGCGGAAATCAAATTTCTCGCCTTTGCCACGTCTCTTAGTTCGGTAAGCCTCTCAATTCGCGTTGATTCGATTCGAGGATCGGCAGGCGGCTGCCTAAGTCTTGACAACCCTTATCCGTAAATAAGAATGATTTAGATGCGCCCCGCCCTGCCTCAACCCACACCCAAAACCACACACATAGTCGATAACGAATTTTAGTCATATGCCACTCTTAATATTTCTAATGTTAAGTTGAATGTACAACAGCAATAAGTAATTATCCTAATCCGCGTTCCGTACACTCACTCACACGGGCAGATGTTACAAATGCCACGATCGAATTAAGCTAAAGAACCATTACGACCACGATGGGGCGTAAGCAAACCGTAAATGTAACGAAGGAGATGAATTAACCTAGGAAAACAGAACACACACGTAGCATACGGAATACCTAGCAAATATATTAAAATTGATTATGTGTATAAACAAACGAGCGTAGCAGCACAATGTGCATAGTTAACCGACTTCTTATTCCAGCCGAACTTTCTGATTTACTCCCTCATCTATTTATTTGCTGCTCCTTTGTTTAAACATGTATTTTAGCAATGTTTTTTTTGTACTTTATATAAATACCTACATACTTATATACATACATATATATAAATATTATTTTAAAGCAAACAATCGTATATGATACACTCTTATGTGGATAGGGCGTACATTATTGCTAAGCACTCTGTCTAATTATTATTTTATGTACTCACAACTTGACCCCCGATGGGCAAAACTGTATATGTATGAACTGGCCAAGTTATAGAGAATAACCGTTAAGGTCACGCCAAAACCCGCCCACGGTTGACCACAAAATACAATTGCCTGCCCTTAGTTTCTTCTGTATAGACGTTGTTAAAATTTTGTAAAGTCAGCAGACGAACTGCAAGACACTGAAAAGAGAAGCAAATGAT